TAATAATAATAATAATAATAATAATAATAATAATAATAATAAAGTTGGAAGGGACCTTGGAGGTCATCAAGTCCAACCCCCTGCCCAGGCAGGAACCCTACACCATTTCAGACAAACGGCTGTCCAGTCTCTTCTTAAAAACTTCCAGTGTTGGAGCATTCACCACTTCTGGAGGCAGGTTGTTCCATTGGTTAATTGTCCTCACTGTCAGGAAGTTTCTCCTTAGTTCTAAGTTGCTTCTCTCCTTGATCAGCTTCCACCCGTTGCTTCTCGTCCTGCCTTCAGGCGCTTTGGAGAATAGCTTGACTCCCTCTTCTTTGTGGCAGCCCCTGAGATATTGGAACACTGCTATCATGTCCCCCCTCGTCCTTCTCTTCGTTAAACTAGAGAGAAAATCTTTGTCCTGTTAAATTCAATTCAATTTTCCAAAGCGCCTGAAGGCAGGACAAGAAGCAACGGGTGGAAACCAATCAAGGAGAGAAGCAACCTAGAACTAAGGAGAAACTTCCTGACAGTTAGAACAATTAACCAGTGGAACAACCTGCCTCCAGAAGCAGTGAACGCTCCAACACTGGAAGTTTTTAAGAAGAGACTGGACAGCCCTTTGTCCGAAATGGTATAGGGTTTCCTGCCTGAGCAGGGGGTTGGACTAGATGACCTCCAAGGTCCCTTCCAACTTTATCATTATTAGTATTATTACTAGCTGTACCCGGCCACGCGTTGCTGTGGCTCAGTCTGGCATGTGTTGCTTTTACATCCAACAGATGGCACTGTTTTTCAAAAAAGCATATTTTTACCTGTCACAGGTGTGACATCTATATAATATAGGTATATAGAAACACGCGCGTATTCGAATGCAACGTTGTGTCAAAATTTCAAAGCAATCGGTGAAGAACCTTCGGAGATTTAAGATTTTGAACAAACGAACATTTACATTTTTATTTATATATAGATTAAGAGGTAAATTGCTACTTCAGAGTCTCGACTTTGTAGGTGTGACGTCTACGCCGCTGTGGCCAAAAATGCTACGACAAAAGGAAAATGTACCACCACTTCTTCCCCCCCCCAATAAGTTGTGCTGGGGTTAGAGTTCCCAGAATTCCCTGGCCAGAGAAAAAAAAGGGGATTGTGGGAGCTGCCCTTCTGACACACGGCATTGTAAAATGTCGACTTTAGTGATTGCCATCTTGCGCCCTTTTTCTCTTCTCTCTTTTTTTTTGTTGCAGGATTGAGCACGACAACACCGGAATGAACGCCAGCTGGTACCTTGACCGTGTGATTGTGACGGACATGAACAGGCCCCACCTCCGGTTTTATTTCCCATGCAACAATTGGCTGAGTAAAGACGAAGGGGACGGCCTTTACGTGAGAGATTTGATTGGCAGCCTGAACCCTATGGATGTTCCCAAAGGTGCGTCATGATGATGGTGATGATGATGATGATGATGATGATGATGATGATAATAATAATAATAATAATAATAATAATAATAATAATAATAATAATAATAATAATAATAATAATAATTTAATAATAATAATAAAAGTTAGAAGGGACCTTGGAGGTCTTCTAGTCCAACCCCCTGCTCAGGCAGGAAACCCTATACCAGTGATGGCGAACCTTTTAGAGATCAAGTGCCCAAACTGCAACCCAAAACCCACTTATGCATCGTCGGGTGCCGGGTGGATGTGGCCCATTGGGTGGGCGTGGCCCATTGGGTGGGCGTGGCTGCGGTGGTAACGGCAGACTGGGTGGGACTAAAAAGTTCAATCAATCAATTCCAACTTTGCAAGATTTTTTTTTCCCGCGAGAAGTTGAAATTGACTGATTGAACCTTTTTTTTTTTTGCACACCGCAGTGGAGGCCTAAGGCGAAAAGGTTTTATAAAACCCAGCTGAAGGCCTAGGACTGGGGCGACGGCGCACGTGCCCACAGAGAGGGTTCTGAGTGCCGCCTCTGGCACCCATGCCATAGGTTCGCCACCACTGACCTATACCATTTCAGACAAATGGCTGTCCAGTCTCTTCTTAAAAACTTCCAGTGTTGGAGCATTCACAGCTTCTGGAGGCAGGTGGTTCCACTGGTTAATTGTTCTAATTGTCAGGAAGTTTCTCCTTAGTTCAAGGTTGCTTCTCTCTTTGGTTATCCAATCTCTTCTTAAAAACCTCCTGTGTGTAACAACCACAATTTCTGGAGGCAAATTGTTCCACTGGTTAATTGTTCTATGTCAGGAAATTTCTCCTTAGTTCTAGGTTGTTGATAATATAATACTACTACTACTACTAATAATAATAATACTAATAATACTACTACTACTAATAATAATAACAACAACAATAACAAAATAAAGTTGGAAGGGACCTTGGAGATAATCTAGTCCAACCCCCTGCTCAGGCAGGAAACCCTATAGCATTTCAGACAAATGGCTGTCCAGTCTCTTCTTAAAAACCTCCAGTGTTGGAGCATTCACCGCTTCTGGAGGCAGGTTGTTCCACTGGTTAATTGTTCTAACTGTCAGAAAATTTCTCCTTAGCTCCAGGTTGCTTCTCTCCTTGATGATGATGATGATGATGATGATGATGATGATGATGATAATAATAATAATAATAATAATAATAATAATAATAATAATAATAATAATAGAGTTGGAAGGGACCTTGGAGGTCATCTAGTCCAACCCCCTGCTCAGGCAGGAACCCTACACCATTTCAGACAAATGGCTGTCCAGTCTCTTCTTAAAAACTTCCAGTGTTGGAGCATTCACCGTTTCTGGAGGCAGGTTGTTCCACTGGTTAATTGTTCTGATTTTCAGGAAATTTCTCCTTAGTTCTAGGTTGCTTCTCTCCTTGGTTACTTTCCATCCATTGCTTCTTGCTTCATAGATAGATAGATAGATAGATAGATAGATGATAGATAGATAGATAGATAGATAGATAGATAGATAGATAGATAGATAGATAGATAGATAGATAGATGATAGATAGATAGATAACCTTTATTGTCATTTTTTTTTCTGTGGGCACAACGGCACACATTAAAAATGAAATTGCTTGCTCTCAAAGTGTGTACACATACACAACACACATTTAAAACATACTATATACAACATATGTATAGACCTACACCCTTACATATGAGTAACATATAAATATGAATCGCTGTCCATCTTGAATGCATCAGTGAATATATGTATTCAAATGGTACACAGATAGTCCTTGACTTACCACCAAAATTCAACCCAAAATTTCTGTTGCTACGTGAGACAGTTGTTAAATGAATTTTAGCCCATTTCACGACCTTCCTCGCCACAGTTTTTAAGTAGAATCACTGCAGTTGCTGAGTTAGTAACACGGTTGTTAAGTGAATCTGGCTTCCCCATTGAGTTTGCTTGTCAGAAGGTTGCAAAAGGGGATCACGTGACCCCCCCAGAACACTGCAACTGTCACAAATACCGGTCAGTTGCCAAGCATCCAAATTCTGATCACGTGACCACGGGGATGTTGCGGTGGTTCGTGTGAAAAACGCTCATAAATTACATTTTTCAGTGCCAGTAACTTCAAACACTAAACAAATGCTTGTTAAGTCGAGGATTCCCTGACATTTTCTCATCTAATCCCATTTTTCTTTTAATTTTTGCAAACCATCGAATTTTTTTCATTTTCATGTCACAGAAGCTAACATTTAGTTAATCTTTGGCTAATGGAAACCGCAGTATCTTGTAAACTGTAAACCAGGAAAACACGAAAGTCAGCATGGAAATAGTAAAAATAAATGAATACATTTGAAATGTACAATCCTTTACCTTTTCAACAGTCTTCTCCAACAGTAAAAAAAAACACCTATTAGGAGGAAAAAACGGCAACGATTTAAATCTTCCCCAAAGAAATATCCAAATTGTTGCCTTGTAGGAGGAGATTTTAGGAAAAAAACTATACATTATGCAAAGTTATTTTTTTAAAAAACCATATATTTTCAGGAAGTGCAGTGATATAACTTTTTATTTTATTTTACATTGTTTTATTGTTCATTAAACACATTTAAATGACCACCTAACCCGCACATATTGACTCTGGGTGGCAGACAGCAACACAGTCTCACTGCAGACTTGTTAATATTTATCTCAAAATAGCAGCAAAATAAACTGAAAATTTGCCAGTGTGTTCAGAAGGAACCCCTGGGTATAAAATAAAGACAAAGGTACTTGAAGTTACAGGCTGTTCACTGTTAAAGTAAAGTATTATTGATTGGTACTTGAAATGGGCACCTTCCCCCCCCCCCCCATATTTGGAAGGCAGGTCTGCATAATGAATTTGGATTTTGTTCTGTTTTAACTGTTAGTTTTCCCAAAGAATCCTTAGGTTTTTAAAGACCTCCAAAGTTCCTTCCAATTCTGTTATTCTATTCTATTCTATTCTATTCTATTCTATTCTATTCTATTCTATTCTATTCTATTCTATTCTATATTCTAATATCTATTATTCCGATATCTATTCTATTTTATTCTATTCTATTCTACTCTATTCTATTCTATTGTATATTCCAATATCTATTCTATTCTATTCTATTCTATTCTGTTCTATTCTATTCTATTTTCCAATATCCATTCCAATCCATTCCATTCCATATTCCAATATGTATTCTATTCTATTCTATTCTATTCTATTCTATTCTATTCTATTCTATTCTATTCTATTCTGTTCTGTTCTGTTCTGTTCTGTTTTGTTCTATTCTATTCTATTCTATTCCGTATTCTATTCTGTTCTGTTCTGTTCTGTTCTATTCTATTCTGGTTAATTGTTCTAACTGTCAGGAAGTTTCTCCTTAGTTCCAGGTTGCTTCTCTCCTTGATGAGTTTCCATCCGTTGCTTCTTGTCCTGCCTTCTTCAGGCACTTTGGAGAATAGTTTGACTCCCTCTTCTTTGGGGCAACCCTTGAGATACTGGAAGGCTGCTATCCTGTCCCCCCTCGTCCTTCTCTTTGTTAAACTAGACATACCCAATTTCTCCTCCTACCTATGTTTATATTCATCCATAAAAATTAAAACAAGAAATATCTATTAAGTCACGCAGAATTACATTCAATCGCTACCAGTTCCAAGCTTGTCCCAAGTCAGCCATTCTATTAAATAAATAAATAAATAAATAAATAAATAAATAAATAAATAAATAATAATAATAATAATAATAATAATAATAATAATAATAATAATAATAATAATAATAATAATAATAATAAAGTTGGAAGGGACCTTGGAGGTCATCTAGTCCAACCGCCTGCTCAGGCAGGAAACCCTATACCATTTCAGACAAATGGCTGTCCAGTCTCTTAAAAACCTCCAGTGTTGGAGCATTCACCGCTTCTGGAGGCAGGTTGTTCCACTGGTTAATTGTTCTAACTGTCAGGAAGTTTCTCCTTAGTTCTAGGTTGCTTCTCTCCTTGATTAGTTTCCATCCATTGCTTCTTGTCCTGCCTTCTTCAGGCACTTTGGAGAATAGCTTGACTCCCTCTTCTTTGGGGCAACCCTTGAGATACTGGAAGAGTGCTATCATGTCTCCCCTCGTCCTTTTCATTAAACTAGACATCCCCAATTCCAGCAACCGTTCCTTAAATGTTTTAGCCTCCAGTCCCCTAATCATAGTCTAGTCTAGTCCAGTCCAGTCCAATCTCTCCCCTGCCCTGCCCTTGTCTTCTACAAAATGTGGCAATTATGGAGAAAAGGGTATAAATTTTATATACATATTATTCCTTTATTGATGTCGAATTGGACACCAGTACTCTTTCCACCCTAAATAATAATAGCACCTTGTATGTGGGGAACAATATAGAACTACAACACGGGTGATCACATTGTCATTGTCAAGTTAACAGAATAAGAGAGTTGGAAGGGACTTGGAGACCAACCCCTGCACAAGTAGGAGAGCCTATATTGTTCTGGACCAATGGCTTCTTAAAAACCTCCAGTGATGGAGCAGCCTCAACTTCTGGAGGCAGGCTGTTCCACTGGTTAATTGTTCTAACTGTCAGGAAGTTTCTCCTTAGTTCTAAGTTGCTTCTCTCCTTGATCAGTTTCCATCCGTTGCTTCTTGTCCTGCCTTCAGGCGCTTTGGAGAATAGCTTGACTCCCTCTTCTTTGGGGCAGCCCCTGAGATACTGGAACTCTGCTATCCTGTCACCCCTGGTCCTTCTTCAGTTTTTGAAAGCCGATTCTGCCCTGTGCAGGTCAGCCGCTGATCATCTCTGGTGGCTAAAAGTTCATTTCCAGGGCAAGGAACGAAAAGACGAGGAAGGTTTCAAAGGCACTAAAATGTAAAGCTCGGAGCTGACACTGTTAGGCGAGCTGATTTCTTGTGAACGGGTCCTGCCAAAACTGGAGCAAATTTTTCCATGCTGCTTGGCCCGACTTCACACCA